TAATGTTATAGCTTGATGATTGAGATTTTGCGATCTTGCGGAAGTCAGAAGATTTGTTGAGAATCTCGACCTAGATTTATATGTACCATGTAATAGTATGGCCTAGCAAATGAAATGCTCATTTTATGATCAAGGACTTTTGAAAATTTGACTGGCTTTCTTTCTGAATCTGATGTGAAATTACTGAAGTAATCGGATGAGTGTTAGCGGTGGATTCGACAAAGAACACGGGTCAGTCTAAACAACGTGCAATCTTTGCTGGACGATCTTTGTGGAGAAAATGTTAGTAAAGACGAGACGTGGATTGCCATCTCACAGTCCCTTTTGAGAATTTGATGTGAATTCGATGTGAATTGGAACTAATGGCTTTTCCTGACTGGGGGATGGCAGAACTGGTCACCATGTATTGATATGGCAATTGTAGCGAAATTTTAAATACTTTGGTACCGGATTAATTAGTACTAGACTTAGTACTAGTGCTACTAATTAGATTTACATGGGAACGTCCCAAGGAGGGTGTAAGGTTTTTAAATGGCAATGAGATGCAAACGCCTATCGGACATGACGAATCCGAGGCTGTGTACAAGAAATGCCTACTGCACTCACATCAAAATATTGCCAAAACAGATGATATACCCCCTAAGGTTCAGTCGAGTGGATTTCATTGATTGGCATCAGGGATACCCGGATTCGAACACCCACGCTAGGGTGAGATTTTCAACGTGAAATCATCAATACTTATTCCAGTTTCCAATGCATAATTGATCCCAAAATATTTCGATCAATCTTAGGCAACTTCTTTGCGTAAAATAACGCAAAGTGTTTTATCAAAGGATTTCCATCAGAAATGAACACATTTCAGCTTTGGAGCGGTGATGGGAAATGGGCGGCATATTCTCCTACCACTCCGCAGAGCCATTGGATCTGCAAAAGGAGCGAAAGGAGCAAATTATTTTCCAGCCAACCTAATAAAAGGAAGAACCTATCAGATAGACCCCTTAAGCCACTCCCAAACCTGATATTCATCGAAAGAAAGTAATGCTCTGTTGCTCGTGGAACTGCAAAGGCTTGGTGCACTATGAGTTAGCTAATCCAGGAGAAAACATTGATACGGATCTCTATTCAAAAGAATTGGCCAGAGTTAACGATGCTTTAAAGAAATTGGGGGTCAATCCATCAAAGATTCGATTTTTGCACCAAACAGCAAACAGCAAAATTGCATAGAAAATTTCTAGATTCTAGTTTCTAGATTTGCATAGAAAATTGCTTCATGCTAAAAATAAATAGAAATATCATTGAAATTTTAAGGAAACGAAAATCTTGAAAATGAAGCTACCTCCAAAACCACAGAATGGAGCGGCTTTGTCGATAATTTTCTGTCGGTTTGCAGTTTAAGTTCAGATGTTTGATTCAAGACGGTTACCACAGTTTTCTTCCACAGTTTTTTCCTCAATTCAAAGCAGTAGACAAATCAGAGACGAGTGGGAGACGAAAATTCAATTCTCGCGAGAATTACCAAGTTTTCAATCTCAGAGATGCGTGGAATTATAGAAAAAGGCATTCCGCAATTGTGGAAATGGTTTTGCTAACGATATGGGAAAAATTTCAGGATATCATCCTCATTTCGTTGTTAGGATTTGTCTTGATGGGTAAGTCGAAATTGAAATATTAAAGCAAAACAAATTTAAGGCACCTATTCCTTTTTGATGTACTTTTTCTGGGAAGTTGGGTGGTGTTTGCTGAAAAAACCGATTGGTATTCAGCACAACTTTGTCGAGAATTTTCTGACAGTACTGGAGAATGCGACAGCTGTGGTAAGGCTTCGGCAGAGAAAATCCAATTTCTGACATCTTCAAACAAAAAAAGCTTGGAAACATTTCTAGAAATTGACTCTGTCCAGTCATAGGAGAATTCAATTTTCGTCTCCCACTCGTCTCTGATTTGTCTACTGCTTTGTTATATAAAAAGTTCTCCCAAAAACCCAGAATTCCGCCTGAAGCTGCAAGGATTTCGCTCGCTCGTCGCTCTTGAATAGACTATTAGATATGGAATATGGAATACAATCAAAATGGATTTCATTCGAAATTCCCCATTCATTTGCCTCGTGATGTTCTCGGCCACGTTTGCGGAGAATTACGTGTAGCGAATTTCTCTTTGATTTCTCTGAAAATCGGTTTGAGGCACGAGTAGCGAGTGAAGAGGAAGAGAATCGCTTTGAGTTTAACAAAGATCTCTTTTCAATCAAAGGAGTCCCTATTAGTCCAAATTAAATAGAATAACGGCATAGATCGAAGGCTCGGCTTTCCGTGGTTGGATCAAAGATATCATGGAGGTCAGAAAAGATAGAAACCCGTGTGGGCCTGAATGAAAACTTTATTATTGTGGGTAGTTATTAAATGATCGTAATGGAATTATGATCGAGGATCGTAATTATGATCATTTAATGATCGTAATGGCCCCAAAGCCCCAAAGCTGAAATGTGTTCATTTCTGATGGAAATACTTAGATAAAACACTTTGCGTTATTCTACACAAAGAAATCTCCTAAGATTGATCCAGATATTTTAGGATTAACTATGCATTGGAAATTACGATAAATATTGATGATTGAAAATCTCACAAAACCGTGGGTGTTCGAATCCGGCTCTCCAACGTCCCAATTCGTGAAATCCGCCGAACTTCCATCCATCCATTAAAAAGCATTTCTTTTGTTCGGATTTCTCTGAATAAAGAAATTTTTATGTTTTACTGTTGATATTTCATCCAATTTTTTTTCCATTTCAACTCAAACTATTTAAAACATTTTAAAACTATTCTAGTCTTTCAATTCAAACTATGATTTCTATCCGACTTTCCTTTCTAATTATTGAAATCATTCTGGTTTCCCAATCGAAACCATTATTTCTATCAAAGAACTATCAGTCACACGAATCTTTTTTTACAAAGACCGTTCCGAAAATGGCTCAAAAAATCTCAAAAAAGAATCAAGTGTAACATTATGCCTTTCAATAAGAAAAATTCAACCTTTAGTCCGATCCAGAACGTTTCTTTCGAATAAACAGTTTTCGTTGAAATAAATCTTGTTTTTATCTTGGTTTATAAAGCATACATTTCTGCAAAAATCATGGGTTTTCAGAGTTGAATCATTTCGATTTCTTACCGAGTTTCCAAACAAAATCGTTCTCTTCCTGAAGGTGAATCGAGACTAAATGGCTCTTTCGACTCGCACAATATGCCTCGGCTTGAGCAAATGTCATATCTTGATCGATAACCTGAAGATGAAGATAATTCTGGTTCACAACAGCCACCAAACCTTGCACCCAGAAGCGGTTTCTTCCAAATACGACCAGCCATCCAAATCTTAAGTCTCAGTCGACAAGCTGGCTGTTAAAACCAAAGCCAACACTTGAACTAAACCCAGCAAGGTCTAGTTTTCACAGCTTGGTGGACTCTTCTTTTGGGAGTTATGGACTGGCTAGACAGAGTCAATTTCTAAAAGTGTCTAAAGGCTTTTTTGCCTAAACATGTGAGATGTTGGACTTTCTCTGTCAAAAACCTTACCAGAAAAACCTCTCTATCGTCTTGGGTGATTCGTTTCCTGAAAATTTCCATGATATTTCTATTCCTCCCATGAAGCAAGTTTCCATGAATATCTAGAAACTATTTAAAACCTAAGGAGAAGTGTTTTATTAACTATTAGATTAGGGAAAAATAATGCGCGTTTTTTGCGTGTAACAATAGAGTGCATTCTACAAGAAATAGCAACTATCAATCAATAAAGTATTCTCCATTTTGACTTCTTCCCATCTTCGACGCAAGTCCTTCATTTCATTTATGGAAAATTGGGGATTTTTGGATCCCTCGTCTCTATCGCCTCTGGTGATTCCATCCAATTAACGCCATTCCAAACACTCACAAATCGGCTTCGAACCTGGTCTCCAATTCGGAGACTCTTGTCGTGGTCTCGCTAGCTCCACGTCCGGTTTTGTTCGCTCACGATCGTTCGCTTTGCCTGCTGTCTAATTGGGGGACCCGTGAAAGTATTTGCGCTGATGGGTTGGAAAATAGACATAGTTCGGCCCTTAGGACCGTACAAATCTCTCATTAGGCCTTTCAGACAGTTCAGAAAAGTCCACGGTTACACTCAGGCCCTTCTGGCCTTCAAAAATTTTCATTCCAGTCCTTCGGGTCTTTCAGAAAATTCATTCCAGCCCTTCGGGCCGTCAAAACAGTGGTTCAGGTCTTACACACATCGGTGCAATTTGCGTTTTTTGATGAATTTTGATGAAAGATGTGTCATTCTACACAGAAAAATGTACTCATTTCAAAACAGGAAAAATTTCCAAATTCTCCTGACAGCTTTTTTGAAAAATCATTTTTTAGTGGAAAAAGCGTCATTTATAACGGAGAACCCCGGGAACCCCTTTTTTCGAAGCTTTTAACTCGGTGACATCGCAAAATCGAAAGATGTAAGGTGATAGATTCGATTTATTAGATTCTTATCCTCCTTTTCACACCAAGCAAGCAATTATAAAGCCTCCACAAAAACTAGTAGTATTGTGAATCTAGAAATAACTGTCTGTCTGTTTGTAATGACCTCAGAAAGCGACTTTGAAATGCTCAAAATTCCATTCTCAAACATCTATTCGGGCTCGTCAAAACAGTTATTCCTGCCCTTTGGGCCGTCAAAAAATCAAAGACAAATCGACGAGTTGAGGGACGAGAAGAGCGACCTTCAAGAAGAATTGTCAGTTTCCTCATGTCAATTCTCAATTGATGTTCAACACGTTTATCTAATAGTTTATTCAGGAGCGACGAGAGAGCAAAATACTTGCAGCTTCAGACGGAATTCTGGGTTTTTGGGAAAACTTTTTATGAGATTTTGAACAAAGAGTTCAGAAATAAAGAAAAAGATAATGTGCAGTTGTGTGTTTTCAGAAGATTGAATAAAATGGGATTTATTGATTTTTGTCCACAGAAAAGAATATAAGGAATTTATCAGAATGGAGAGCGCCTTTTGCAGATAAGACCCCACTGATAACGACGAGCATACACGGCCTTTTTTGGGTGTGTTTTTTCTGTGAGCAGCCATTTCCCATCGCCGCTCCCAAGCTGAAATGAGTTCATTTCTGATCGAAATCCTTTGATATAACACTTTGCCTTATTTCACAAAAAGAAATCTCCTAAGATTGATCCAAATATTTTTGAATCAAATTATGCATTGGAAATTGGAATAAATATTGATTATTTCACGTTGAAAATCTCACATAAGTGTGGGTGCTCGAACCCGGCCGTCCTTCATTCCAATTCGTGAAATCCACCGAACTTCCATCCGTCCATTCAAAAGGTTGTCTTCTCCTCGGAATTTTCTGAATAAAGAAATTCTTATGTTTAGACATTGATATTTCGATCGGGTTTTCCTTTTTTCTTCTTGAAATTTTTCTAGTTACCCAATTGAAACCCTTATTTCAATCAAAGAACTACTAGCCAAACGAATCATTTTTTCACAAAAAGCCTTCCGGAAATGGCTGAAAGAATCATTAGTTTCTATATATTTATTTATGTCTTTCAATAAGAAAAATTGAACCTTCAGTCCGATCCAGAACCCCCACATCGAATTAACATCTTTCGCTGAAATAAATATCGGTTGTTTTTGGTTTATAAAGCATAAATTTCTACGAAAATCATGAATCTTCAGAATTGAATCATTTCGATTTCTTACCGAGTCCCCAAACAAAATCGTTCTCTTCCTGACTGTGAATTGAGACTAATTGGCTCTTTCGATTCGCACAATATGCCTCGACTTCGTCGAATGTCATTCTTTGATCGAAAGCCTTGAGATGAAGATAATCCTGGTTCACAACATCCACCAAACCTTGTACCAAGAAGCGGTTTTTGCCAAATACGACCATCCATTCAGCTCCCAGATCCAGGTCATCGTTCGATTTCTGAATTTCTTCGAAAAATTTGCTCCAGATTTTTTAGATCAAGACTCAATCCTTTTCCTTAAAAAACAAATCTGCCCGCAACTTCACAACTTCGGTCGTTTTGTTTTCTCTTTTAAATTGTTAAGAGGGGAGTTGATTGGATTGAGTGGAATGGGTGTTTTGGGAATGAAGAAACTGTTTTCTCAAGTCTCAGTAGACAAGAGATACCAAATAAACTCACATCTGGGTTTCGAGGTCAGAGTTCTCGCTCTGCAACGCGTTGATTTTCCCTTCGAGCTCTCCAATCTTGGCCTTTCCGTCTCTCACTTCCGTATTTTGAGTTCTTCTGAAAAAAGTTCGGATTTTTACTATATAATGAGCTTGTCACAAAAAACGTTACAAAATTAGTACAATTGTGCCTCGAGATCGTCGTTCTTCCTTTTCGTCTCGGCGAGTTCGCTGATTTTTCCTCGGGCCTCGACGAGTTCTTGTTGGGTTTCATTCCTGAAAAGTCTTGTCATTGAGACACTCAAGCCTTGTTTATTCTATCAATTTCGCTTTCCTCTCAAAAAACTCACCAATTTCTTTGACAAGATCTCAAACGGACGGTATCCGGACAATCCTCTGTACTGCTGAAATCTAAGATCATCGAAAAACCCCTTTCTAACCAACTTCAAAGTACGACGATCACCAGACAGATTTTCATCTCGATCTATCGGAGATCTGAATGGTTAACTACATAGCTATTTGAAGGGAAAAGAATACGTGGATGGATCCACATGATCGGCTTGTTGAATGGATGAAGAAATTTGATGGAAAAGGAGGGGAATCGTGATGAATAGACCGACGGCCATCACACCCATTCTGCTGAATTGGTTGATTAGTTTTGAATTCGGGGAAATGAGAAGAACGAATGGAAGGACGCTCCGATGCACAATTGTTTTTTACGGAAAAAAGCTTTTGAGAGCTCTGAAATTGTTTAGGAAAGCAATTGATTCATTAAGCCGTTGAAAGAATCACTTCGAATAGAACTTCGGGAAAAAGAAAGCCGTCAGTTCGGGTGAAATTGGGGAGTGAGAAAACGCGGAGTTATCAGGAGACTACTTTCGGGGAAGGTCAACTGAACCGACCGTTCCCATCAAATCGCCACAATTGCTCCACAATTGCTCCTCCTCATCTATCTCCCCCCGGCGTATACCATTTTTTCCTAGAGCCTTTTTGACTTCTCCATCTTCAAAATTCATAGCTACTCGAGGTGTCATCATTGTTGATTGTTGTTTTGGTTGTTCTATGTTTTTTAAGTTGTTTTGTGTTAAAGCAGAGCATTGTTGTAAAAAGCATAGCTAAACAAAACTTCTCTAAAACGGAGACTGCTCAAGGCTTTGAAGCTTAGAAAAGGGAAAAGACAATCCGCTACCAGCTTCGAACCTGAGAGCCCCCGCTTTGCCTCCTGGAACCAGCATCATGATCAGAAAGTTTATCAAAATTTATGGAGGGCACTGAGACTGAGAAGCAATGCGTGAGAAATTTAGAGAGATTTAGAACTTGAGTGATGTTGCTTCGGATGATGAGTAGTTTTCTCAAATCAAATTTCTCAAATCGACCTCGATACAAAGAAAGAAGATCACAAAAATCTTGGCACATCGAGGCATCAGGATGATGAGGTTGGTTGTAGAATCTCTAGAATCTTCCTTTCCCTCCTCGATGTCTTCAGAGCATCTCTTCTTTTTCCAAATCTGCAGAAATGCCCGAAACGACTGAAGAATTTCCTGAAAAGAGTGTCAAACGCATAGAAGAGCCGGTCATCTCGAGGAAGAAAATCGCCCAACTCGAAGCCGATTTGTGGATTTTTCACCAAATCTTTGCTTCTATGAAAAAAGTCTTTAATTTAATTTTGAATTTTCTCGAAGAACAAGTGAAAATTAAAGGAAAAGGCTACTAAATAAGCAGAATTGATGAGAAAATCAAAGAAGAAATTTGTTGCCAAGCAAAATGCAGGTATCTTACCAAATAAAGAGAAAAGAGGAGAATGGGCATTCCTTTAGTCATCATTCGTCAACCAACAACAATCAATATTCATTTCAGCGAAAACTGAAAACGAAAATTGAAAACGAAAAATGAAAACGAAAACTTCTTGGCCAATTTATATTCCAGATCGGTTGGATTGAAAAAGTGATACCCGACGGTCTTCTTTTGCATAACTATCGGTCCTTTGAACGTAAATTGAGCCAAAAGTAAAAGTGCTTATTGTTTGTGGATCCTCGTCGTCTTTTTTCTTTCTCGAAATCTTTTGACTTTTGACATGTAGTTGTAGGAATGTCCTCCGAAGAGGAAAACGCTGTCGACGAGGAAATGATTGCATCCAGCCGTCGCTTCTTTTGGAATCGAGACCAACCTCAGAAACGGTTCATCGCTTCGGTATAGGTTGGATGCAACTCTCCACAGCCAAATATCCTAATGGATCTGAAATCTGAAATGTGCCTTTCAAGTCTGAGGGAGATCTTCTGATAAGACTTTTAGAGTTTCTGGTAATCACGACTCATCACCAGAAGACACGGAATGAAGAACGAATCCTTCTGGACTCTCTGATCACTTTTTATCAAAACACGGAATTCTTTTTCTTCACATCCATTTCCTCTCACTTTATTGTACATAACAAAATCATTTAAAAGAAGTTGTCCGAAGCTCTAGGTGGAGTTGTTTGTAACGATGAGGTTTCTACCGATTCTGCTACTGGTTTGGTTTCAATGAACTCTGTAACTAAAACACGACACGACATTTGACTAGCTATTGAGTCAGTCAGATAATACATGAGAGCTCCTGCAGTTGCATAGACCCGGAAGATATACGTATCTTTATTTACAGTAATACAATAAGATGAATAGATTAGAAATGAGTGTAAGGGGAAGGGGGGACTCCAAATGAGAGTCTCATTTGTCCTCCTAGGCAGTCCCAAGGACCGCCCCTACTCGGGAATAAAAGGGCTAAGCACAGGGGAGGACACATTTGCATAATAGACAAATCATTCAATAATAACAATAGTAACTAAAATATCAGTTTGGCTCGGAGCTGACAGTAGATAGTTTCAGTCATTAGACCGGCACCCTCTATGAGAAAGGTCCTACCAGTCCAATATAGACTATTTTAGATGAGCCTCGTCATTTCGAGTCAAGAAATGGGTGAATGGTTTCTTTTCCTTTGTTTCGGCATGAAAAAGACCACAAAGCAGTGGATATTCAATTTGAGTAAGATTACAAAGATGATGCATAGACTTTTCATTTAATTCTCCAGAATATTGCTACATTTAAAGTAACCCTCCCATCGGCTAAAGTTTCTCTGCCGGAATAGTGAATTCGATCATTTTGAACCTCCAATCGTCTTTTGTGCTTTCGATGGCCATTCTTTTCAATCGAAACCAAACGGGCAAAATGAATGAACCACTTAGCTTATGCAGATTTTTGTGCTTTTCTATGAACTTTGAAATTGAATCTCCAGCAAAAAATAATGATACTTTAAATTTTTCCATCATAAATTTATTCGACCATACAATATATCACAGTTACTTTATAGTGAACGAACATTGGCTGAAAAAATCATTACTTTCCATATACATGGCTGAAAGAATCATTACTTTCCACATACGGAGAGCTCGAAGGGAAAATCAACGCGTTGCAGAGCGAGAACTCTGACCTCGGAACCCAAATGTGAGTTTGTTTGGTATCCCTTGCCGACTGCGACTTGAGAAAACAGTTTTTCCATTCCCATTCCACTCAATCCAATCAATTTCGCTCTAGACAATTTGAAAGGGAAAACAAAACGGCGGAAATTGTGAAGTTGAGGGCAGATTTGTGAGTTTTTTTTAAGGAAAAGCATTCAGTATTTGTCTAAAGAATCTGGAGTAATGTTTTTCGAAGAAATTCAGAAATCGAACGATGACTTTCTTGGAACTGGATGGATGGTCGTATTTGGCAAAAACCTCTTCTTGGTACAAGGTTTGGTGGATGTTGTGAACCAGGATTATCTGCATCTCAAGGCGTTCGATCAAGAAATGTCATTCGATGAAGCCGAGGCATATTGTGCGAGTCGAAAGGGCCATTTAGTCACAATTCACAGTCAAGAAGAGCACGCTTTTGTCTGGAAACTCGGTAAGAAATCGAAATGATTCAATTCTGAAAATTCATGATTTTCGTAGAAATTTATGCTTTATAAACAAAAACAATCGATATTTATTTCAGCGAAAAATGTTATTTGGAAATTTGTGTTCTGGATCGGACTGAAGGTTGAATTATTCTTATTGAAAGAACTAAATAAAAAATTTGTTTCTTTGATCTTAAATAAATGTTATAAGATTGATTAAGCCAGTTTTTACACTTTTCTGCAAAATTTTGGTATCTCAACATCTTTTTTAATTTAGGGATGTCGCTATCTCAGAAAGGTGGAGTGCTACTTCACGATGCAGATGGACACGAGTATCGGAAGGACAAAACAATCTGAAAAGGAGTAGCTACAGCTTATCGGTAATTTCTTTTTACTAGTTTGGTTGTATATTCGTTGAACATTATAAAGTTTTCTTTCAGTGGTACGAAAACAAACTGCCGGGGAAGGATGCATAAAGATGAAGCAACTGGAGTCCTTTCTGTCACCAACGAGCACGCTATGACCTGCCTGCCATTGAAAGAAAAAGAAGAGGTACGTTTTATTTTGTTTAACTTATTGTTTCTTGTTTATATTTTTAGATACGTGGGATACACTCTGGCGCCAAAAACGATCGGATTGCTGGAGTTCCGACGAAGGAAATTATTAAACGACGTGTTCTCGGAGCTCGCCCACACCTATTACCTTTTCTCAATGCCAAGGGAATTCAACAAATGGCTCGTCGGCAAGTCAAAGTCGATGGTGATAGAGATTGGCCTGCTCCGGTCACTGGAACTTTTCGTGAGTTGTTGTTATTTTAGCCTCATAAATATTTACGTTTAGGGGTTTTATTCTTACGATATGATAACTGCTCAAACTACCCAGCTCCACACGCAAACGCAATTAAATTCTTTGCTACTGATTGGGGAATCGATATGTTACATCAGGTATATGAAACTCTTTAGACTTTCAACTTTAATAACAAAAGTTAAATACTTTTAGCACCCTATTTGGAGTATTGATGGCACGTTTTATGCGGCTCCCTTTGGGTTTTCTCAAATTCTAGTGATCGGGATTGAGGTTTTTTTATTATGTTAGTTTTATAGTTTTGTTTTTAGATAGAACATCTTTTCGTTCTGTGTGCATATGCATTCCTGTCAAGCAAGTTGACACAAACGTATAGCGACGTCTTTGATCTGGTCAAACAATAGGGATTGCCACCACCAACAAAAATTAAAACAGGTTATTTTTTGTTTATTTTGCATTGAAAAACTTATAAAACATTTTTAGATATGGAGCTGGCTATTGTCAACGGTTTTATGGCAGTCTATGGCAACACATCAACCATACATTTCTGTTGTTTTCATTTCTTCAAGGCCATCTTTCGCAAAATTAAGGTTATTAAACTTTGGTTTTTTTAATATTTATCTATTCTTTTAGGAGAAGAAACTACAAGACATCTATTGTGATTCTAATACGTTTGTCTACGTGAAAGGATTGCTTGCACTGACATTCATAAGACCTGTTGATGTCTTGCGATATTTTCGTGTACTACGAGATGAAGCCTTCAAACAAATTCCCTCCCTTATTAATGAATTACAAGGTTTGTTATTTATATTTGTTATAGATTTAATTTTTTAAATTAGGCTTATATTCGTACTTCGAAAAATCTTTTGTTGGATTTGTTCAAAATAGTCGCTTCATTCGACCGACACACTCCATTGAAACG